GGGGCAGGGACTTCTCTAAGCAGCAACCTGAGGTCCATCCTACCTCATCACCCAGAGCCCTCCCCCAAGACAAGGTATGGAGGTGGCCTGGATTTGGCCACTAAATTTGGATTTAATCTTTAACCAAAGTCTAAAGCATGTCTGTTTGCCCCGGGGTCAAAAACTCAACCCTCATTACTGAATTAAAATTTCTTTTCCAGTGTGGTGGTGTGTCTGCCTTTCTCTTGAAAATGCCTTCTTTCACAGCCTGAAACCTTCAAGACATGGAAATCCTGGATCCCCTTGACACCATGGACCCAGCCAGGGCTATTAGGCATTCAGAAGCTGTTAGCATGTAGATTTTGGTGATAATTTGGTGAATGGAGTTGTCAAACAAATTGCCTTTATTATGGACTGATTAAATGCAATCAGGGAGAGGTGCCTTTCCCTTCCCCAGCTCCAGCCCTCATCACTCAAACAAACACACTGAGCCAATTAGCAGGGAAGTGGCAAAAGCAGCTTTCACTTGAAACCTGATATTCTTGAGGAAAATGGAAAAAAAGAACCAACCAACCACCACCAACAATAATAAAAACAACAAAAAAAAATCTTAGTGCTTTCAGAACCAAGATGTGCCTCCAGTGAAAGGTTCCCAAAGCTACCCAGGGCTCACCTGCAGGGTGTGGATGGGAGTTATCAGTATTCATCTGGATGGATACCAGATCAGCTCCCTTAAGTAAGGTGCTGCTCACATCCAGCTTCCATCCTGCCAAAATCTAGTGCAAAGAACATAAACATTAAAGCAGGCCCAAGGGGAGCAGCACCACCAGGGCTGTTTTTTCTTTCAGCTGGGTTCTCCTGTGTCAGAAAAGCTCCCAGCCAAGCTGTTTCCATGCCTAGAAAACTAAGTTTTTGGCTTAGGTCCTTGCAGTGGGTTCTCTGATGTCTGTAAATGCTCGAGTTCACAACCCTTTCTGCAGTAGTGGAGGGATTTGTCTCCATTAACATGAAACTCATGGCAATCACATAGATCTGATGCCACTGCCCTTCTGCCCAACATGCCTGAAATCAGCTAATGAATGGGAAAATCCTTGAGGAGAATTGGAGCAGGCATGATAACAACATAAGTTTAATTCCTTGCAGGTAGGCAGCTGGAAGTTAAATGGTCACCTTGGCAGCAGTGGGCAGAGCAAAATTCAACATGTGTTTGCACGATTTAGCTTCAGAGACAGGAACATCTTGGCTGAGCAGAGAGAACACACAGGATATGAGCAATAGCTGTTGACTAAGCTTTTAATGCCTGTGTTTAAAGTTAGCACCAAAGCCTACTTTTGGCCCTATTTTCATTAACCTAGTCCCTCTGAGGAGCAAGGCCTGTGCACTGCACATGGATCACTGCCTACGGCATAGCTTCCCCTGGCAGGGCAAGGGCATTGCTCTGTCTTGGACTCTCACCAAAATTAGAAAGGGTCTAAAACAAAGGTAAAGTTTTATCAAACAGCAAGGATTTTGGAGAATTCATTGCTGTTACTGAGACTAGGACTAGAGGTTTATGGTTAATGTACAGAGATTCAAAAGGTCAGATTCTTACCCCATGCCCCATCACAGTCCTCAAGTATCACCTTGAACATAAGGGGTAAGTGACACATCAAGACAGCAGATTCTAAGCCTTCAAACAGTCCTGAGCACAAGAATAGATCACAGAATGAGATTAAACCAAGAGTCCATTATACAAGCAGCCCCAGAGAAGAAGTCCAGGTCTTCTTAAGAAGTGGCTGCAAAGTGCCTGATAACTCTACTCTCTCCCTCAGGATCTGCTTCCTACCCCCACAATGTTTAAAGGACTATGAAAGAAAACAACTTCAAAACTCTTCACATAGTTCAAATACTTCACTTAAAAGGAATTTGAATTCTTACATCTCAGATTGCACCAGTCCCCAGCAGGACACGCACTGCTCATGTTCACGTTGTGGCGTTTGAGCTGTTCAAACAGGAGGGACGGAGTTCCAGCGTGAGACTGTGTGCTCAAGGGTTAGAAATCCCCACCAGCCCTGCTTGTGCTCTCTTGTGAGAGCTGAGACGCAGTTAACCACATCTCTGGGCACCTTCTCAGGGTGTGCCTTGCCATGACCTACATAAAAATTAAATCTTCCTGCAGCTGACACATCCCTTGAAGACCCAGCCAGTGCGAGAGTACTGAGAGCAGTGGGATGTGATTGGGTCTGAAGTTCTTGGTAAGTCTTTTATCCAGCTTATTGCAGAGCTGCAGCATGAGAGTCATGTCAGTGCTGCTGACTTAAGACCTGCTTAGAACTCAAGATTGGTTGTCCCTGAGCTTTCCTTCCAGGGCTGGATCCACACACTCTGGCCACCACTGCACAGCCATGACCTATTACAAACAGCAGCACCTCCTTGGTAATGCTGACTTGAACCAAGCTAAAAAGTCAGAGAGGTTTTGCTGCTATACAAGGTCTACAGCCTGAGTTTTAAACACCATTCTTCCCCAAAGAGCATCAGCTGAAGTCTCTGGACAGTACTGCTATTCATTTGCAAGCTGGAAAAGCCTTTACATCCTAAAGAATTGTGTCATCTCCCTGCAGCACCAACTGCTGCAGAAACCTCTGTGGAATCACAGCAAGCCTTGCATTCCTCAGCAGTAATACCCAATACAAATCCACTCATCTCCCTGGGGTGCAGACAATTTACATTTTGGATGCACCACTTCTAGGTGGGATGGCATGCAGTAAAGCTCTAAGTCTTCCCCAAAGATGTTCACCTGCTCAATTCTAGTCATGCCAGAGAAGAATTCAGAACATGCTGAAGTATAGAAAAGTGTATAACAGGCCAGAAACACAGACAAATAATATTAGAAGGTTTCACTCCTTCTGTTCCTTAAACCAGCTGACAATTCACTTATAGAAATAACAGTGACAAACAAGATCCTCCATCAGGTAGGAAGAGTTACCTGGGCTGCTGCTCCTTCAGAGAGGCACACGGTGCAAACCCTCATGCATTGGAATGAGGTGAATGGGGTCAGTGCAAAATGTGCTGGGAAAGCATTAGGTGTGATTTGGGAAATGCTGGGCCTTTTCCTACCCCCTTTCATCTTGTGGTTTCTTAGCTCCTGAGCTTACAAAACTATATTTGAGCTGTTACACACTGGGTACAGCCCTTTCCTGCAGCAAATCATGTTTCCTGTTCTGTAAGGTACAGTCAGTCCAACAAGACTGGGGACATTCACCAAGCCTGCTATCAGAAAACATAGGTTGGACCTGGCAGAAGGTTTCAACAGTTATGGAAATTAACGGGAGGTTGTGCTGTTGGGATTACAGACCCTGCTTCAGAGTACAGCCTTGCCGCACACATCACAGGGATGTAAACCACCCCTCTTCTCCCAAAGCATGACAGTTCAATTGGATGCTAGAGAAAACATTATTTTGTTATCAGCAACCTTCTTTTGCATTTTTTAAAAGAACAGCATCTGTTCCCCCTGCCAGCACCACTGAAGCCTATCAAGTTTCCTTCCCCTGTTCCAGCTATGTTGTACAAACACAATGTAAAGCACCTTTGCCCTTGGGACACCTGTACCATTTTAACGCTTGGCAATTTGGCCTGGCTGGGAAAATTTTATCTACATTTCAGAAAGACAACTCCTTTTCCTATTGCAGCTTTTGCTCCCATCATGCCCACTCCATGCACTCCTTCTGCATCAACTTGCTTGCAAGCAGGAGCACAGAGAAAGCTCAGTGCCAAAAAAAAGATAAAAGCGCACTAGAAACAGGGAAATGCTTCAGTCCTTTCCATTCAGAGGCAGATCTGCCTTGACTGGGAGCCCCCAGGACTAATGTGCCCCCAAAAGAGACTGAATCACAGGCAAGGCAGCCCCCTTTAATTCACATTAAGACTTCCAGCTACTGTATATATTCTTTCCCCCGTCTTCCACCACAAGCTCCTCCCTCTCTAACACAAATTTCTCACAGCACACAGACACATGTACTCCCAGGCAGTGAGCAGCAGTGCTGGGATGTGTTGAAACTCAAGTCCAGTGAGGTTCAACCCTTGCAAATGACAATTTTCATCAGCAAACTATAATTGGCAGCTCTTATCCACTACAAGAGTTTTACAAAACACCCCTAAAGAGTATGTCAGGCTAGTTCTTCACACTAAGACCCAAAATTAGAACCAATATCCTAAAGGTGGCCCTCACTGAACACTACCAAGCAAACTGATCTGCTCTGCTGAAGTTGCAAAATGAAATCTGTTTTGTTTTCTCAGATCCATATGCACATCCAGAAAGAACAGAAGCAGAAATATAATTCTAAAATGACTAATGCAGCTAGAGAGTTATAAAACTTACATGGGACTCCAGACTTTCAAAGTGCTGGGTATTTTCCTGCTATGTACAACTCCAAACAAGTGCTATCAACATTTTTAAATTCAGAAAATATTAATAAATGCGACACTTTTTCTTTTATCTTAAGAAAACACAGGCTCAGAATACAATTTGTTCTGTGCATTTACCTCCTTTATCGCAGTTCAGGGGGCTTTTGCAACAATCAGGAGATGTATGTTAAGCGAACAGAAGCTGGCCCACTACAAAATAATTTAGGCTTTCTATAGTAGCTTTAATTTACATCATAAACCCTCCCAGTCTCCTAATCCACCTATTTTCACTCCTGTGAGAAACACAGCAGAAAACCTGTCCTAAACTTGCACAGGTTAATACCATTCCTGCTACAAACTTTCACAAGTTTCACACAATTCTTTTTCTTGTCCCAAAGTCAGTCAGACTAACTCTTTTGAAATAGTTTTGCTAATTATTGAGAAAGGCTTTTAAGAACCTCAGAATCCTCTTACAGAAGACACTTTTTATCTTTAGCTTATTTTTAAAAGATTAAAATTACTCCCCACATAACTATCCCAGATCTGCTCACATCTCGTTTCCCTGAGCTGCTCCTGAGCACTGGAATAAGAGCCCCCACGCACGAGCAGCACACGAAAGGATCGGAGCTTCTCCCTACCTGAGAAGTCCGCAGAAGTCTTGGCAAAGTTGCTGAAAGCTGTCAAGCACATGAGTCCTAGGAGGAAGGTGGAGGTGGGAAACACCTCTGGGCAGCACATCCTTAGGTGTTCTCACGGCTTGCTTTCTTCCAGAGGAAAGGAAAGCGGTTTCTGCCCCTGCCCAGCACTCCTCATTGCCCGGAGAACAGCGTTAGTCCCATTGCTTGGAAGGCTCGCAGTCAGCGGCGGGGAAGGAAAAGCACTCGGCACACACACGCACACACACAGACACACACACACACGCACACACATCCCTGGGAGTGAATGAATCCCGGCTGACGAATGAGACAGACCTACCTGAGCCTTGGCGGAGTTCCCAGGGTCCTAAAAGCCACCTCTTTGCCCAAATTTGCTGCAGACTGTTGGTGTGCAGCTGTCCAGCTGTGGCACTGCGAGCTGCTGGGGGCAGTCGGGGAAAGGGGCACCCCGGGGGGCTGGGTTGATGGAGTCCAGCTATTGTTGGATTAGATATGCAGGGCTTTTGTCTCTCTGGTGCAGACAGACAGAAGGATGAGCAGAGTTTTCAAAGGAGGGAGCCCACAACAAAGCACCTGAATTCACACGGATTTCTGGTATGACGGGTATTTGTAGCTGCTGCTGAAATCACTGAGAGCAGCAGTGTCCTGCCAGACTGGTGACAGGACAATTCTGTGTCCCCTCTGTTGAGAGTGATCCTACAGTGGAGGACACTTTGCACAGGCCCAGGGACCAAACCCTCCTGGATCTCATTGCAGGACTGGGACTGGTATCAGCCACATAACCAAAAACCTTAGCTGCAGCTCAGGCATGTGTTTGCATGTAAATAATGGACATATCCCATATATTCAGTCTAGGGCAGAAGCTGAGTGTTAGTGCAGAGAGAGGAGGATGCATTTCACAGGCAAAGCCAACACCAGACATTTAGCAGACTGTGTATCCATATATTCAAACCTATGGAGCTGCACTTTGTGGGGCTGCCAAGGGGAGATGGGGCCAGGCTCACACACAGCTGCTGAACAAAGTTGCAGCTCCTATCCAGCAAAAGTAATCTCAGTGGAAACATACAAGGAATACCACAAGTTGTTTTTATGCCTCTGTCCTGTTCATCCACATGGAATTAAGTGAAACTCTCCAAACACATTGATCCTAGAGCTAAAAACAAGTGTAAGAAACTTCAGCCCAGAGGGCACCGGGGTTTTTTTCAGATTTGTGTGAACTTGTAAAAAGTTTCTTATTCTGAAATTTCCAAAAGTGTTTCAGCTGTTCTCAGATGAATATCAGACTGGCTGCCTGATTATATGTGAAAGACATTTTCAAGAGCGCTGCCATGAATACCAGAGTAATTTTTTCCACCAGAAGTCTATCCTGGGATGGTCTGTGTACTAGAAGAGACCCCAATGGGAGCTGTAAGTCCCATGGCCCTGGTTGCTTTCTGCCCATAGGGCCACTTGCTCAAGTTCCAAACAGCCACACAGAGGATGAGAGCAGTGTGGTAAATCTGGAGTTTGGGCTCAAATGCTGTTCATGACCACGGAAACAAGAGGCTGTTCTGGCCCGACCTGCACCTAAGCACTTCCTTCCCACAACACCTCTTCACACACTGAGGGTCTCCAGTGAAGCTGCAGATGAGTCTCCTCAAGGACAGTGGTGACTCTGGGCTGCCCTAAGAGCACAGACACAGCCTGAGGTCCAACAGGCTCTGTACAATCCCGCCCCAGTCCCTCCTCTCTGCAGACAATTCTGCCCCCTTACTTTCTTTGCAGAGGACTGCTTAAGCAAGACAGAAGTCCAGGAACTTCTAAAGGCTGCCTTGCTCTTTATTTCACCTGATACTTTAATCCCACCTGCCAAACCTCTCTGACCCGTATTTTTCCAAGGCTGACCCAAGTTTTAAAGAGAAAATACCAGGAGATTTGACTCCTGGCATCTATATATAATTCTCTCACCTAGTTCTGCTGCCCTTGCCAAGAGGAAGATTCACCACTGCTGTCTTACAGGCATGAGATAACCGTACCCATTACCAGATTATCAGTCAAAGCTCCTTATCAGCAGGACAAAGAAACAATAGGACCCCTGGAAATTTATCAGCCTCTGGAAAAGGGAAGCACTATTTGCTGAAAAGAGCCCACCCTGTTAGCAGGTGTTGATTTTACTGATTAAAGGGTAATTAGGTTTGGCCGACTCAGTATATGGGGAAGGGGGAAAAAAAGTCCTGGTGACAAAGGGTTTAAGGCTAAACATGGGCAGCGTGCTTGAGCAGTCCTTTAGTATATTGTGAATAAAGTCAAACCAAAGGGGAGGAAGTTTACATCAGTGTCCTGTCCTCTGAGGCCGTTGTTTTTAAGTAAGTCTGTACAGATGCCTTCCAAAAGGAAAGAAGAAAGCAACTCTTGCCGAAAAGAAAAGAAAAGAAAAGAAAAGAAAAGAAAAGAAAAGAAAAGAAAAGAAAAGAAAAGAAAAGAAAAGAAAAGAAAAGAAAAGAAAAGAAAAGAAATTGCCTTTGAGAAACAGACAATTCAGTTAAAGCCCATCTCCATAATGCTCTTATTCCCTGGGGCATGTGGGAACATCAGCTGTGTTTGGAAGGCAAAGAGGCCACCTGTCCCAGCGCAGCACAGATAAAGGATGTCTGTCATGCACAGTCTCATGGGGTAAACATGAATCAAGGCAACACCAGTATGGAACTTTATTTTTAGGAGTAACAGCCCTTGAAATCATCCATGCCTTCAAATACATCTCTGGGGATAGGCAATAACACATATAATGATACGCATTCTCTTGGATCCCTCATCCCCAAAGCCACACAGAAGTGGGAATAGGCCAGTAGTGACACAGTCCAGTACCACATCTTAGCTTGGGGGAGTGATATTTGCTCTGTTTCCCTCCACAGATTAACTGTGGAGAAGTCTCACTGTATCTAAGGTGCTTAACAACTGTACTTCAGCCCTCCCCTTCAACAATGTTACTTAAGTGCATTTTTCTCTTCTCCCACACCCCTCTCTTTCAGATTTTCTCCTTCTGCTGCACATAAAACTATAATATCTGAAACATCCATGCAAATTCCCAAATACAGTTAAGTACGACTGCAACTGGGGAAACTGAGGCACTGAGAAAGGAAGTAATTTGTCATTCAGTTTTGTGACCCCATTACCCACATTACCTAGTTCATAAACGGTAATCAGGAGTGGACCCAGTAAGGATGATTCCGAGTTTAATGCTCTGCCAATCTTGCTTCCTTCCAGGACTGATTTTTGGTAATGCTTTCCTATTTTTTACTGACCCGGCACCATTAACCTCTTCCTTGCTGATTAAGTCCTCAACAGCCAAAGACTGGTCAGTAGAAGAGCTGGACCAGGAATAACTCTCAGCTAGAGAACCAGTTGTAGGATTGAAACCCTGCTTATTTACACAGTCACAAGTGGATTTATTAGTACAAACTTTCCAAGACTAGTCTTTCTTTCTAACCCTAGCAACATTATTCACTTCTAACTGTTTTTTCCATAAGGTCTCAAAGCACTCTCCAAAAGGCCCTGTTGCATTCTGCCACTTCACACATGGACAAAGAGCAGTCATAATTTTGAGGTCACTACTCTCTCAATGTCAGCCAGGAGAAAATGACAGAGATAAGAAAATATTAAATACTTTTTAAGTCCAGCCAGAGCTCTTTCCACCTGGCCACATTCCTTCCAAATGAATGCAAATTAATAACAAAGTATATGTGCATATATACCTACAAAAATATATGTAAACTGGGTGGTCAGAGCTTTGATATAAAATAGCAAAGTTTCCCAAGAGAGTACAACTCTTTGTTTCTTTTTTTTTTAATATTTCCCCTAACAGTGTCTTACAGAAACAGATGGGGTTACTCATGGAAGTAAACACTGTTTGCTTTCATCAATTTGAAGGCAGAGGACTTCACATAATGCAGTTTTGCAATACAACACCAAGTATCTTACAAGTAAAATCCTCCTCTCCATATTCAATGCTAAACAACAGCTGTGCAGAATATTCAAACTGAAAAGCCTTTGAAGTTTCCATATTTTGTGTCACTCAATCACTTCAGTTTACAAAACGAACAGAAAACCTGGAGGACTTTACTCCATACTGGGACAGCTTTCAAGGGGGGGTAGTGCTTCAACCAAACTCTGTGTAGAGTAAAAGCTCCTGGTGATGCACTTATCCCACTGAAACATTGGGAAGCACTGAACAAAGTGGTGCAAAATCTTCCAATGCATGAGAATGTCAGAAGTAAAATATTTGGAGACTACAAAGTGATCCACAACAAAGCTGAAAACCTCCTCATGTCTCACCAAGTAACTGGTGTTGGAACCTCCCTCAGTTGGCATTCTCTTTATTACAATGGTTCCATGTTCCGGGTTAGAAAATACTGTGCAACCTGGTGATTTTTCTGGGATTGGAATATCCAGTTGGGTTTAGTCAGTACCTTGTGCACAGGATGTTCTCATGTGTTATATACATAATACATGTACACATATATGGTGTTGATCACTGTATTAGAACTACAGTAGAATTTGGAATCATCTTGATCTTTGTACTACACTGCAATACATAAAGGTTTAAACAGACAAGTTTACTGAGACCTTCAGGACCCGCATTGTCTTCTGATATCTGTAAAGTGAAACTGTTCTGCACCTGACCTGATGCATAAGTCCTCTTCTAGCAGCTTTTTTGGGTAGATTTCTCCATTAATTGGATGATGGTAGGTACTGGCTTTAGTATTTTCCACCACTGTCTTTCCATTAGTATATTCAATAGCTCTCTGGGAGTGCTTCTTAGATGAGAGGCTGAATTTGACACCTGAATTTGGGCCTATCTCAAACCTCTGAAGGCATGCAAAGGCAGTAGCATGCAGGACAACAAGAGTCCTTCAGCATTCCCCCAGGTTCTTCTGTCCCTCATGGGCACACATCCTCTACACACAGCCCATCCTTACAGAAACTACCGTTGTAACTTACACTGCAAAAGCCTTTTTTTTTGCCAGAGACCTTTTCCATAAAAAGGATTTTTTCCAGGCATTGTCACAAAGCCTTTTCATAAAATCCACCTCTATAGTAAAAGGCCAAACCACATAAAGGTCTGAACACAGGAACTGCCTCTC